TAATAATAAAAAAAACTGATAAATTTATAGAAGAAAAACCCTTGTCCAAATTAAATATATATCAGCACATATTTATACCAATGGTCTTGATATTTAAAGGAAAAGAAAAGGATTTTAACGTAAAAAATAAGGATTAAAAATATTTGTAGCATAGTCAATGCGACTCTGATTCGGATTGAAGATGGGAATAGTAAAAATAAGAAAAAATAAATAAAAAATAAATGCTTGAACCTTTAAAGATAAAAATTTAATATCATACAGGTGCATTTTGCACAAAAATATCTTGATATTTAGATGAAAAGAGAATTGTATTTTTATTATTAAAATTGAATGAATTAGTACAAAAAAAATTATAATTAAAGAGGAGAGGAAAAAAAATTCTATATAAAACTCTAACAAATTTATAATTAATATTATCTGATTTATAACAAATTAAATAAACAAACTAGAATATCAGATAATAAAATTATATATATATATATATATATATATATATATATATATATATATATATATATATATATATATATATATATTACATACAACAAATTCCTTGCTCTCTCTCTCGTACTTCAGATTTATCACTTTATTTCTTTTTCTTTTGTCTGTTCTCTATATATTCAATATAAAACATAAATGTTAATCATATATAATAAAAAATAGAGAGATAAGAAAATTTTTAAAATGACTAATTGATAAACTTATAATAGTATTAGAATAACAAGACGTATAATAGGATATAAAAAGGAAATTAGTGCAGTAACAGTGTAGCTACATATATGAAAGATTTGATAAATTTATAAATAAATAAAATGTATGGGCGTAATGTTCAGATCATATACTGACTTAGTTTCTAAAACCACATTTTGATTCAAAATTCATTCGTAAAACTTAATTATTTCAAATTTTAGTTTGTGTATTGTTTGTTGACAAGTCTCATTTTAATGAAATCTCTATAGTTTTTTGTGCTTATTTTCTTACTAATTCCCTACACGAAGATAATACTTTGATGTAAAAAATAATAATAAACAAGACATAGAATATGATTCAACATCATGTGGTGGTCTAATTAGAAGAACTAGGAAAAAAAAAAAACAAATAATAGAAAGTTGTGCTGGTTTAAGATAATACTAGTTAAGAATTGGTACATGGACGACAAAACCACTTAATCTGTTATTTTACGAACAAGCTAAGTAAATGTGGAAGATAATGCGAAAGAGGCAATTAAAAGGTGGGTGTAAAATGAGATAGAAAAACATGGTTTTAGGGTAAGTGATGAGATTAATGTAAGGTAATAGGTTGTATAATTAATGTATGAAGGACCGCATCACTGTTGCCAAAAGTGGAACCAACATCCTATTATGGTCCGGGGCTTCTTTGGTGTTTGGCTTTATTTACAGAACAAGAGTGAAGCTGTTTTCACGTCCCACCCAAAAAAGCAAAGCGTACGCACCAAACTTTTGTAGATTTAATTGAAAGAACAGAAGCGTACAAGCATGTAAGACAAAGCGTACATCCTAGTTTTCCATGGTGGACACTACCTTCAAATGCATGGTCATCATTGATTTTAGGGTTTCAAGCTTGAATCTTCAGATAAGAGAATAATCCCCCTCCCCCACTCAATAAAATATAAAAAGGAAAACTTGAATTACCAAAGCTGTACGTAGATATATAATAAGAAAACAGGTCCACAAGGTTTAAGATAATTTAAGTTTATGTATAATTTAGTTTGTAAAAAGTTATTTTAATTAGTTTTCACAGCTTTGAGTGTTTATTGATTAATATAGTTGTATGAAGGGTGATGTTTGAGGAGAAAAATTGCATCTTACGAAGATATTGATGTATAAATGTCCTGGTTATATATTCTTTCTGAACATTGTTGTGATAGAAAGAAAAACAAGGACATTTGGATTAGTGATGAATATGAAATTAAGGATAGGATGAAAAAGAAAAGAAAGGACAAGGACAGGCATGTATGTATGTATACTCCAGGTACCACTTATATGTGCATAATTCCACAAGGTAGCATAAAGTTACTTACTCATCTCCCAAAGTCCAACACAAGGGTAAAGAATATTGGGTTTTACAAATCCTGGCAAAAGAACAAATGTTCCATTTACGTGGGGAAGCTTTGCATCAGAGCGCAATATCCATCAAAAGCAGAAGCTGTGGGCATAACTAGCTACATGGTTCAGCTTAAAGAGGGAATAACTTTGACTGCACAAAAGAACAGAGATATTGGTGGAGTCCTAAAATAAATTCATTATGGTATGTATGGTTTCAGTGGAAAAATAAAAAGAGAAAAGAAGAAGCATATTGTGATACAAAGTGGAAGGAAGCAGGCCTAGAGAAGGCTGGCCACATACCCCACAGAGAGAAAGAAGAAAAAAGAAAGTGTAAAAACAGCTTTATGGGGAATAAGAGGATGAGGTTGCATGATTGAACTGAAGTGAACTCTCTCACTCTCGTATGAAATTTACAACATCTTTTGATATGTACAAATATATATATACCTACATACATACACTTAATTTTAGTTCTAGTCTACAATACTACTTAGAAGAGGATGATGGCTCCTTTACTTTTGAAGAGATGTAAGAAGGAAAAAAGAAGAAGAAAGAGAGAGAAAAAGGCAAAGGGCATGAGTAGGACAGGACTAAGATCAGCTGGACTTTGCGGTGGAAGGTGGTGGAAGTGGAGGAGGTGGTGGGAATAATTATAATAACAATAATAGATTGCAAGATAGATAGTTATAATCATGGGCGAAGCATATTCACTTTCCTCTTTGTCATCACTTTCTAAGGCATGATTAGAAAAAAGTTCACCAATCTTCTCCACCTCTTCAAAGAAAAGCACCCTCCTCCTTCCTCCTTTCTTCCTCTCCTCCTCCCTTTTGTGTTCCCAACTCTTCTCAAGTGCGTAGAGGAAAAAAATGTGAAACTTGCTTTCCAAGTATTTGAATATACACCCACAAAAGTTTGATATAATCCCCACCATTAAACTATTGATTAACCAACAACCATAAAAAAAGTTGATTTGTCTCTTGCTTTCATGTTATAAAAAGATGAATATCCGCGAACACGTTGCCGAATGAGTTCTTGAAAGTGATTATTTAATCATGGATCTCTCTCTCAAGATTTTATGCATTGCTAGCAATTGGTGAGGAAAAATAACTAGTCTTAGGTTTAGTGCGTGGTTACGTAACTGAAAGGCATTTGTTTTGTTGAATGAAGCTTGAATTAAAAAGTAATTATTTTTGTCTTCCTACTTATTAGTATATTCTCCCCACTCTTTTCATGTTGGAATGAATAAGGGTGCTTTGGTTCACTTAGTCCAACAAGTAGCATTAACAAACACAAAAAAGGTATCGCAATTGGTTCAGATAACAAGTGACAAGGGTTGGTTGAAATTAGTAGGCCCAAAGTGAAGCCCAACTGATCTCTTAATTGGGGCCTATCTTCAATGAATTGCATTATGAAATTAGTATATTATTTTTAAATCCTCCTAATAGTGTCATTTTTATTATCTGATTTAGAATAATGAATAGAGAGAATTATATTGTACAAGGACAGCTGGTATAAAGAATAAATGGGAGGAATCAAGAAGGAGAAAAGGTTAAAGATATAGGACGATTAGGATAGGCAACCATGTGATCAGAAAACTGTTTTGTTTGGACCATAGATGTTCAAGTTTTGTTTCTTTCTTGTGTTTTTCTTTTAATTATTAAAGATATATACATGTTAGACTACAAAATTAAGTATAAAGAGACCCAATCTTAACACCAACATTTTATTTTTAATGTTTCTGAAACATGTTAGCAACTGATAAATATGTCCTAATATGGATTTAAATCAAAATTATCAAAGGTTTGAAACCTTAATTTTCTTAAAACAAGACAAAAAGTGAATTCAAATTAGAGTTAGTAAATATTTTTATGCAATGTCAGAAAGATTTAAATTAGTTTTTTAGAATGATAAACAAATTCATAAAATTCAAAGAAACAATATAGTTTAGACTCTGAAAGGACCTTTGTTCAAAGAATTACACTTTTCAAAACTTCACTAAAACTAGATGGAGTCATTCATTTTTTTTTTTCAGAATGTAGTTGACACATTTGTCTTTCCGGAAAGGTTTAAGAGTATGTCTTGTTCAAGCCTAAACAAGATTCCAGCCACCACCTCATTGGATGTGATAGAGTTTCAAGATAAAATCTGTTTAAATTTTTTGATAAAATATAGGCATCGTCTCCTTGGACTTTAGAACCTTTCCAAAGAAAAAAAGTAAAAAAAGGTGAATAATTTAATATTCGACGGAAAAAACAAAACAAAAAAATACGAGGGATTTTTACTATTCAAAGTCGCATGCAAATGCTCAGACCTTTACCTTAATCCAAACGAAACAAGAAACTTTTCTTTCATTCCCTCACTTAAAAAAAAAAATCTTCCTTCCATCCCTTCTTTGAACCTAAAATAGTGTTAATCCATATAAATCACTGGTAATTTTTCATCAATGACTTCGATAATTGTGTCGAGAAACCTAAGCATTGCTAAGATAGTTCCACACTACCATTCATCATGCACACGTTAACGAAAGGGAAGAATAAATAATAAAAAAAAACACCCCAAACTCGAAAAGTGCAGTACCTATGATTCTTACACTTGAATAATATTTCTTGTACCCCAAACCGAGCAATATGAAAAAATGTCAAGAAAACAAGCCTTGTCAACTTGAGTTAAGAATTGCTCCTTCATCCAAACCAATCATCCATCATCACCTAAACAGGGTGACCATTTGGCTTTAGATAAATAAACAAAATGATAAAACAACAAATTCGGGGCAGGAGGGGTATGGGAAACCTGTCAGTCGGGTACGACAATTTACTAGGCTACAGATAGAAAACAAGGTATGATGACAACGCAGCAGCAAAGAACCAGAATTTCCTGGGTAAATTGTGCCATTTTGTTCTTCATGGTATTTGCCTGAGGACAGGGTCCCAGACATCATGTTGCCAAGCCTGTTGTCTTGCAAATAGGACACAGATTCTTATGCATTAGCCACTGTTTGATACAGTCGCTATGGAAATCATGGCCGCAATCAAGCGTTCCAATATCATCTCCATCACCATAATCCTCCTACAGACATCATAATCAAGTGATGAGACCCGGGTAAACATGGCAGGGAATTTAAATCAAGTCAGTTAGTCAAGGTTACCTGACAAACACAACAGGGTTCAGCATCAATCTGAGATTCTTTTTCAACCGCGTGCTTTTTCTGTTTCAAGAGTTTCAATACGGTTTCTTCACTCAATCCAGTACTCACATTCCCAATGCGCTCTTCCAGAGCCAACAACTCCTGTTATAGTCATAAATGTGAAATGAGAAACTCTCTAAAATGAAGCACCAACTAGATATATAATCATAGGATAAAAAGACTGACAACATGGTTGAATTGAGATATTAGTATTTGCATCAGATGAAGAAATGAGATTTTACCTCGTAAGACATGTTATCAACATCAAGACGCATATCCCTGTGTCGATCATGAACATCAGCTATTCCAGAAAGAAACGACTGATGATCAAGGATCACAACATCCTGTTACAAAATAAAAAACACACAGCCATTACACCAGCATTTACAAGCTTACTATAAAATATCTATTATGCCAAAATAGTAAACAGCCAACCAAATAGGATTATTAACAGATAAAAAATCCTAGTAGCTAACATCAAATTATGAACTTGCTTATAAAGGGGGTGTGAGGTTGGTTGGAATGGGCAATTTAATATAGTTTGGTACAGACGCTGTAGAAAATGGAATTATGCCCACTTTATTTTTGTCTGAACGCAGAACATGTAGACAAAAAATAGATTAATTGCAAGGAGAACTTCATTATTTTTCAAGAGACTGAAATCCTCACTGTGGCATAGAAACAGTCCAGAGGAGACCTTAACATCAGCCCAAACATGAGCTAACACACTAAAACTAAATTCTCTAGGCTTACATGCAAAATTCTAATAACCATAACCGACAATAGAAAACATAAATGACAGGACCTAAATACAATGTACCAACACTCGAAGAATGATTTAAGTGGAGATGAATTATATCTTTCAAGCAGAGATGTGTTAGAACAATAATTTTACCACAAATATGAATATATTTCTAATCAACAATCTAGTTAAGACCAGGTATAGAGAATAAGCTCATCCACACAAGGTTTCATCAAACAAAAAGTTACCTCTTTCAAACACAACCGCAAACAACAAATTACGCAATGATACAAATGTAAATAACTACCCCATGACGTTTCTCACAAAATACACCATATTTGTAAAATAAACTTTCAGAACTGTCCTACACAACCCTTAAACTAGATATTCAAGACTTGCCAGTCTTGGGCTGTTTCTTTTTTCTTCCTATCATAAACCTTCCAAGGCCTTGAGCCTTCTACCTCCACAGGCTCATCAAAACTGACCTACCAAGATGTAAACGATAGAATTATGCGAGGTGGTGAATGAAAGAAGGATGCCTTGAATGTGTTGATGATTAAAAGTAAGTGCCTTAGAAAAAGTGATATAGTTGTTGACATCCTTGTGCTGAGTAGGTGAACAAAATTAGATATTTCTTGGCTTGGAATGTGCAAATGACAATGGTTATAGGGAATGGAACTAGATAGTTTATTGGCTTGCAAATATTTCTCATGGTTTTAAAATTTTAACATTAGATTTCATGTATTGAACAGGATATGGTAGATTCCAAGGAAGCTTATCTGGTATCTCTTTAGGAGTATTTTTAGCTGGTTAAACCTTATTCCTTTAAACATCTTTGCAACCCAGCTTACCAGTCTCTACCTAAAATGCCTTAGAGTAGGTAACTTCTCTCCCAAGAAAGTACGTCAGCTTCCACAAATCCTTCATCTCATACAAAGTAGTTGATTTTGTTAGGATCGAGCGCTTACCACTAGACCAAAAGCTATAGCCATTAGTCAAAACGCAACTCTTTTTACTTAATAGTAACAGCCCAAGTGCCATGATTCGATTGTGACTCGGCCCACTCGGCCTCCGCCATGGGACAATTGATGCTACCTGCAACAATCTCCCCCTCAGCAATTGTCCTACGAGGAATCCCACTTGGATTGTGACTTGGCCCATCAAGCCTTCGCCATGGGATAATTGTGCAACCCGCAACAATCTCCCCCTTAACAATTGTCCACTAGGAATCGAACTCGTAACCTTGACTCTGATACCAATTGTTAGGATCGAACACTTACCACTAGGCCAAAAACTATAGCCATTAGTCAGAACGCAACTCTTTTTACTTAAGAGTAACAGCCCAAGCGCTACGATTCGATTGTGACTCGGCCCACCCGGCCTCCGCCATGGGACAATTGATACTACCTTTGTTTTTCAAGCTCATTGTCACCTATTATATGATCTACAAAGACTAAAAGCAAAAGTTTTCCTTCTTGAGAATGTTTTATAAGAAGGGTATTGACAATTTGACTTTGCATGTACCCCACTTATATATACTGAGTGAACTTCCGACCAACCAAGCCCAAGAAGCATTGCTTGAGGCTACCAAAAGTTGTCATTCCCAATTCTATTTCCCCCAATGGCTAACTCCTCTTCTCAATTCCTTTTCCTATTTACAGGCAATGACTAGTCTACTAACATGAACCCACCTTAATGGGCCTAATCAGTGGCAAGCCATTCCTCTTATTTCTAACATAACTTCTTTTGTATTTCTTTGACTCCCTAACCTAACAAACTAATATTAACATAACTAACTACCTATCATCTTATTTCCTCCATTAGTGGTACCATATCCAGGTGTTGGGCAAAAAATCCCCACACTACACAAAAACTTGAAAAACGCTGTCAATTACAAGTCTTTTGTACAAACTTAAAAACTCTCATAAAGTAATGATCACCCTACAAACTCAAGTTTCTCATTTAAAAGTTACAGTAAATGACAAACACTCTCTCACTCACGAGATGTACCTTACAATAAATTATATTTCTTGGACTCACATCTCTCTTCTATTTGGAAATACCAATGAATAGTAGTGAATAATCGTGATGACAGTGACTTGGACAGTAGTGATAAACAGTGCATGAAAAGTGACTAACAGATGCACGAATAGTGTCAAACAGGTCTAAATCTGAGTGTGCAATGAAGGCAACCCAATCCTCTCTGTAATCAATGAGAAAGGACTTCATATACAGAAGCAAAGACTCAAAGATTAAGAGATCTGATACCATCTTGAAAACTAAAGATTTGAAAGAAGGAAACTAAAAGGTAATTTCATTTCTAATATGATGATTAGAAAATGGAGGATGTTGCTTCTATAAACAGACTTTATCACATTTAAATCACAAACCTCATAGACTAAAAACTGTCAATTCCAAGAGCCTAACAACTTGTACAAGCTAATTAAAGATGGGAATTTAATTCTATAAATACAATTAACCATGACAAAACCTCTTAGTTAAGGGGTTGTTGTAGTCAGAAAGAGTTGTAATCAAATCTCACCAACATCCAGGAATTCACTGTTCTTCAAATATTTTCCAGTTCTTGGTATTGTTCTAGCATTAGAGTTGGATGGGAACTAGGGTTCATATTAATAAAGATTCATCTTTTGCTCACAATATTTGATACTGTTCTATCAGAAATATACAAGGACATACTAATAATGTTCAAAATTTTGCATCCTTCCAATGCTTCTCAAATACTGCATCAGAGTTTTATCATTATTGGTTATAGCCTTTGGATAGGCATGAACAGATATCCCTTTGGGATTCCACTTGTAAGTCCAATAAAAACACAAATAAACCAAACGTCATTGGTAGGTCTGTTAGGCCAATCTAACAACTCAGTCCTCACAGCTAAACAACGGGACAGGTAATTATATTTTTTGTATTACATCTGTATAGGAATTACACCATCTTTGAAGCCATTATCCGCCATTAATTTAGAATGACTAACCTCAAACCGCACATTCCCACCTCTTCGCATAAGGCCCAAAACATTGCGGAGCTGCATCATGGAAAAAAAAAAATGTCACTGCAAGAGAAAAGTTATTTGAAAAAAATAATTTATTCAAATTTCAAGATTATTTAAAGCCTAGATATTGTCAGGAGAAGGCAGAATAGGACATTGGCAGAATGTGGTTTTTATTAGATACTGAAATATTTATTCTTTTCTAACCATGCTATTAGGAGTATATTTTTAGTATTCTGTGATCTCTGGAAAGGTTTTTGACTGGCTTTATTCTATTATGGATCTTTATGGACATTATAGGCTAGTTATTGAGGAAGTTCAATACCATTGAAGCATTGGAACTAGATCGGACTACTGTAGATCTAAAGGGAGTGATCAAACCAAGTGTGATGATTGAACAAGAGCCACCAAACATAGAGTAAATGTTTATCAAATTTACTCCCACACTCATTTTGTTTGTCAGAAATCATTATGAACGGTTAAATTCAAGATCATGCCTCCTTCAGCCAGGAGTTTGCCTTAAATAAATTTGAAGCCAAATATTGTTCATGGCATTGAGACAGAAAGAAAAAAAATGCTTGGCTAAGGTTCATAAGAAATAACAACTAGAGACTACTCATCTGTATCACATTCGATGCAAACCAAATGTGTTGGAATTGAAGCTGCAAGTTTTAATAGGCAAGTATCCGCTAAAACAATTTCTGGACCAAAAATTTAAATTTCAAAGAAAATGGTGCCAATCACTTAGACGCCTCCAAACACTTAAATACAATCATTAAAGTAATAATCTTTATAAAAAAAAAATCTATGATTATTGAAATGCAAGTGAAAAAACAGCTAAATACAAACCTCAGATACTAGTCTACTACTTCCTTCACTTGCAAAATCCAATGCACGTAGTGAATAAGGAATTCCAAATTCATTGTCTCCTTGCCTCTCCATCCATGAAGATGATCGTGGATTTGCCCCAGTCCCAGATGATAACGCCCTTGGTTCAGATGTAGAAAGACTAGAGCGAAAGGAAGAATAAGTATTGTTTGGATTTCCAATAGCATCAGAACCAGGAGAAAACAAGGACCGACGGACATATTCAGATAGCCTCCGCGGATGTTGTGGAGGATTGGGACGAGAAACCCATGTTGAGGCAGATGAGGGGTTGGTAGCTGGATTGGATCCAGCCTGTGATGAAGATGCAACATTTCCTGGAATGCTTAAATTTTCACTGCTTGAACTTGAAGCTCTAACTGTTGGATTTTGAACCAAATTTCTTAAATCAGTTGGAGGTACAACAACTGGATGTTCTAAAATATTTCTAGACATTCTTCCTGAGCTTGCATCCTCTTGGTCTCTGTCTGCACATATAATTGGGTTTGATGAATGGATATTTCTTGAGCTAGAGCCACCACTCCATCTAAAAGATTGCCTATTCCTAGGCAAAGCAGGAACATGGATTACAAGTGGCTGGCTTTGAGGAACCACGTTATCTACTGGTGGAGCTGACCTCAAGTTCAGAGAATTATCAACAGAATGAAACCTTTGTGATGCTTGAGAGGATGAAGAAACACCAGACGGCCTAATCATGCCCCCAGTTGAAAATGCAGTGGGAGGAACAGAATTTTGTTGATTAGAAGGATTTAACCTCAATCGGAAATTCCTGCGAAAGTTTTCTGCAATTTGTGAATTACGAGCAGTTTCACATGCTTCATCCTGCATTGCCAGGCCAAGTCTTGCATTTACCTGTTCTGAGGAAACAGGTCTGTTTGAACTGCTTCCAGCATTATCCTGACCAGGAATGTCATGCCAAGCACTACCATCTGTATGCTGATTGTAGCTAGAACTTCCAGCATCTGAAGATTGTCCATTATTTCCTTCAACAGCCTTTCTTTTGCAAGAGACACGTCGAGTATCAAGAGAACCTGGCCTACCATCAGAATCTTCTACCAGGAAGCCATTATTTGCCGAAGGAAGCAAAAAAGAACCAGACCCAACATTAGATGGTAAGCACTCATTTGCTGACCCACTAGACATATGTAAGTTAGGGAGCTCCAGATGTTGACTATTATCACTGCCACTGTCCGCTAAACCTGCATTTAAGTTGAGATTCTGGGACATCAAGCGAGAATTGGGGCTGCGCATGTACATAGGACTTGCATTATCATTGTCTAGTGAAAAAGTATTGGTTGGTTCAAGGCGCCTTTCTTCCAGTCTTGTACCAGCAGTAGTGGTTGATGTCCATCCAAGTTCTCTTTTTTGCTCATTATTGTTAATCTCATTTGGTGTATTGCTAGAACTGGGCTCCCCTAAGCTCCATCCACCCAAATTTTGCCATCCATTGATAGGATTCACATAAGGTGAGTTCATATCACCAGGAGAAAGTATATAATCAGGTATTTGATTTTCTGCAGGATTCACATTATTCCAGCAAATCTGCTGATCCATAGTCGAATTACCTGGTGTAGAGCCACAGTCAAATTCTAAAGTTTCTGGCATTGAACCAACTGTACCTCTCTGCCCTTGCATTGAAGGAATCGATTGATTTTCCCACACTTAATATAAGTAAATATATGAAATTAATTCCTCAATAAAGCAATAAGCCGGGCACTAAACTTGGCAGCGCTGTTCAACAAACAAGAAAAATGTTCTTCAGGAAAACTCAACAATAACGCAAGAAAATGCTCATGTAAGATGTAAACCACATATGCTTCAGTAAAACCTAAGATATAAACAAAAGTATCAGAGGCAAAGTCAACAATTAAGAAACAAAATTACAAAATAAACATACCTTAACACAGGAGGGTCATCACTAATAATAAAGTCAATGTGTAACTAAGAAGCCAATGTAAGTGCTTCTTAATCTTATGCCATAACCTTCTGAATTGGCGTACAGAACAGGTATGCACCACCACTCAATCCTCGACCATCAGCTAAAAAATCTTGCAGTGCCAATCCCACTAATGCAGCATTGCCAATTAATTAGTCCCAGAAATTCGCGCACCCCCTGGATATACAGACGAAACCTCAACAACAGAGACAGCATGTTTTCACACAAGTTAACGAATAAAATCGGAAAAAAAAAAAATCGACAAGATCAGCTCCAATATTTAAAACACCAAACTAGGTTCAATGGACACAAAACCAAGCTGAATTGACGAGATTCAGGAAAACAAAAACCAAAAAAAAAACAAAAAAAAAAAACACCGTAGTTCAACAACCAACCCTCCTAAGAAATCCCGTCCAACGAAAAAACATGAAGATTCAAACTTTATAAATTTCTAAAGAGCAGCATATCACCCAGTGATCAGAACACAAAAAAAAAAAAGGTTAAATGGAAGAAACTCACCAGATGAAACGAAAAACGGCCGATCTAATTGGAGAATCAGGGTATGAGTGGGTCAGAATGAATAGAGAAAGAAAGCAACCATGTTGGATACGGGGGTGCTTTTTATTCGATTTATTGTGCTCTTTCCTCCTGGGTAGAAAACGAAGAAAGGCAAGAACACAGTGAGAAAAGGGGAGAGAAGAGAGGGTGTTGGGTGGTGGAGGATATCAAAATCAGATAGAAAACTGAAAAGAAAAAAAAAAAAAGAATAAAATGAAAATGTATTCTAATGAGGACAGCAATCCTCAAATTTACAAAACAATCCAAGAGGCATATATTAGTATTAATTTAAATTAGAGTAAAGGTACTGGCCTCGAAAGGAGGAAGAGAGAAAATTGAAATTCGAAATGGAAGTAAAATTGCATTGGTAATTACTAATTAGATGTAATTAGAATAGAAAATGTTATTTACAGTATATAATTAATTTACTAACGAGTGATTCCGTAATGAGAAAGTGGGGGAAAGGGGTGCCCTGTTTGGCAGTTTACCTATTGAGGGGAGGGGAGGTGCGTGTCTTTAGTTCTGACCTTACTCAATCCATATGGGTCTGCCTCTGTCCCCAAACACAGAAGATAATAATGATGTTAATAAATTATCGGTGTTGGAGTCTCTGACTCAATGCAACCCTTTTTCCCTTTTGCGTTCACATCTACACCACCTTAAGCCTCACTTCTTTCTCTTTCTTCTGCTCTTTGCTACTGTGCGTGTCGATGCAAAACAAAATCAAAAACAAAAAATCATGCATCATACACTCATTCAATTTAGTTTTTTTCTTTCTTTCAAATTTATAAGTTCTTGACTTTAATTTTACAGTAAAAAATTAAAATAAATAACATTTTATAATTTAAACGAACGAACTGATTGTTTGTTATGTTTCGAAGATATAAAGAAACTGTTTAAAAGAAAAATTTTAAAGTATATACATATGTACATTCTACATTCTTGTAGTTTCTTATTCTGTCCATTTGAATAATATTTTTGTCAACATTTCTGCTTTCTACCCACAGTTATCTTTTTTGAATAAATTTACGTAATTTTCACCTATTTGAAATATTTTCTTATTAATTTTTATTCATTGCATCATCATTTTGCTCGTTTTCTTATGTATGAGAATAAAGAAATACACCTATTTATGTTTTTCTAATATTTCTTTTAGTTCTACTTTTCGTGGAGCCTCTTAGAATTTTTAAAAAAATTTATTTATTTGAATGACTTTTCCCTAATGTTTAGATTTTATTTCCCCATCTAAAGACATTTTTTCTCTCACTGTGATAGTTTATTTTAAAAGTTTAATGGCTTTGTATTATGAGAGTTTTAAAATAAGGAAAAAAAAACACGCATTTTTTTTTATCACCTAGAGAAGGGCAAAGTGGAATTTCTTTATTCTACAATATCAGATTATGATATTTTAATTAAATAAAAAGTAAAATCTTAAAATTATTTTATTTCTTATTTGCATGTTCTGTGATATTTTACATGTGTTTGCATTCTTCTTGTATTTGTCTTTACGTTATTATTTAATCTACACCCTCACATGTCTTTGTAAAAATAGACCACACCATCAGATAAAGATAAAGACTTGTTATATAGTCTATATCAATCCAGAACAAATTCTTTTGAGAAATAAAAATATATTAGTTTATGCAAATAATATATTTGATTTAAAATATTAGCTTTTAATTTTTCTAAAATTATTCAAAGTAAACAAAATTACTAGTTTTAACTATAATCATTATAATATTAAATTTGTTATAATTCATTAAAATTTGTTTGTTTGTTTGTATTCTGTATGTTTGTTTATATTTTGTATGTTTGTAATGGCTAGACATGTTCATCAAATTATAAGTTTATTCAATGATAAATTTATGTATTGTTAAAAGATTGTGCCATTATTATAATTTTAAATAAATTGGATCAAGATATAATTTATGTATTTTCAAATGACTGTGCTATTAAATATAATTTTTAGTAATTTGCAATGAAGGTCAAACTATTAGTTAAAAAATAAGCTTATATGATAAAAAAAAATAGACTTTACTCTTTTAAAACCTAGTCTCTTTATTTCCACATTTGTCCCATAATTTGAGTAGTAGTAACTTTAATTATCATATAAGATTATCCCAAAGTTAAGGGTTTTATTTTGGTTGAGGAGGTTGCTTGAATTCTATAATATATGATTACCTATAAAAATATTATTATCATAAACAAATAAACAATAAAAGATAACAAAAATACAAAAGCACTTGTTCCAATGAAACCAAATAGGTCTTACATGTAAATTTTACTCATGGTGTCAAAACTTCAAAAATAATTTACCTTATATAAAACTTTTCCCTATGATTTTATTGAATTTGAAGAAATTAAATCTCTGATACTCTTTTATATATTAATAAAAAATTAATTTAATTTTCAAATACTTTCGTTGTAAATATTTTATACAGATTTTTTTAAATGAAAATATTTTATACATCTAATTCATTAAAAATCACTTTAAATATTACTTTCAAATAACTACTATTAAGATATTTTTTGTATTGTCAGAAGTTAAAAATATAACAATATAAACCTATAAAAAATATTGTAATTGAACAAAAAATAAATAACAATTATACTATATGTGATTGATTATGATTAGATAAAAGTAAGTTTTATATAATAATTTATAATTTTTATCGTGCATAATAATTTATGATGATTAGATAATAATATAGGTGAAATTTATCTAAGATAGTTGTATTAATAACAATTAACATTATTTAATGAAATTAAAGTAAAATTTAATTTAGTAAAAGAATTGAAATTTTATTAATAACACCTCTTGAAAAAAAAAAAAGGAAAGTAGATGATTGTGCACCCACGTGAATGACATGAATTTTTCTTGGTTTTTTTTTTAAATATTACTTGATAATATATATATATATAGGATCGTGAAGATCAAGTTATTATAGAGTAATTTTAATTACATACAGTTTATTATTTTTTTTAGAAAAAATGAAAAAAAAGGAACTTCAAATTTGTAAAATAGGGACATAGATTCATAATATCTGATGTTTCTGTTTTGAATTTTGATTAACTACTTATAAACTTCGTAGATGTAGACATCTTTTCATAATTTGGATTAAAAAAGTAAATTTTGTGATAAAGTGATGGAAAATGAAATAAAAGTAATAATTAAATTTGATATACGGTGCATGAGAGGTTAATAAATTTGTAGGCGGTAGAATTATAAAAAACATCTTCAACAAGAGTTACTAAGATACTTAATTAAACTACTATTTGAAATAACTTTTTATTAAATATAGAATAAGTTGTTTAAATTTGATTATAATTACTCTATCGAACAATTCAAAATAAAGTAAATATAATAAAATAAATATTTAAAGATTTTAATAAAAATAATAATAATAAATTATTTAAAAATAATGTAACATGGTAAATATTTATTTTAGGTAAAAGTTGTTCAACACAAATAAAACAAAATTAAGTATTTTAACTTTTCCAATCTGTCGTTTAAGCACTTTTAATTTTGTTGGCTTATTAATAATATTTGGTAGTAATTTTTTTAAAAGTTTATTTGACTTCATTAATAGTATTTGGTAAATAAGTTTTTTTAGGAGTTATTTGGTAAATATAATTTTTTGTTAATATATTATTAAACTTTTTATTTTTATTACTCACTTTTTATACTAATATTATTTAGGTTATGTTTTGATAATTCATTACAACTAGTTTTTAACGTTTTTTAATTGATTCAAAAGTTTGTTTAACTTTATTAATTAGTAGCTAGCCATATTTTTTTGAAACTCTACTTGAATAAACACTAACTTCTATTTCATATTTATATTTATTTTATTCTTAAATTATTTCTTAATTTATTTTTTACACTTTTCTATATTAAACATGATTTTGTTATCATTAATTAACTCATCAAACATCATTTTATTATTTTCATCATTTATTTTTTTACATAAAATAGGATATTTTTAATACTAATATATAACATAATTTGTTTAAATATTTTATTATGTATGATATTTTATTATTATTTAAGGATTATAATGAATTTCTTTACATAATAATGATATTTTATTATTATTTAAGGATTATAATGACTTTCTTTACATAATAAAATAGTTAAGAA